CAGCCTACGTTACGTCCTTTGCAAAGTCTCTTCGGATTAGGGGACTTGAATTAACGTAGAATTCATATGTTTATAAGCTTAGCTCGAAGAAGTGCGAGCAAGTCTATTTCTATCTCATTTTGCAGGGTTCTTGACTTGTAAACCCAGAGACGATTGTGGAGTATTTTCTTTCAATAGCCTCGACTCGAAGAGTCTCCTTTGTTAAGCCATTGACCAAACCGACGCTACGGTCCTGATAAAGACCTCTTAGATTGGTAAGGTCGTACCGCTTGCGAGAATACTCAGATCCTTATCGACATGATGATGGTGAGATGGAGTGATTCTCATAAAATAGCCCTTCTGAATAAGAGTGAGTGAAAGCCCTTTCTAATTGAAAGTCTCTCATTTAGCACTCTTAAGAAATTCACGTTATGAGTGAAAATTGTCTTAATTAATGATTCTCCCCAGTGGAAATTTGGTAATGCAAATATGGTAAAACCATCATGCATAAATCTCAATTGAATTGATTAATTTTGAAATGTGAATTCTAGAATAGCCGTGATTGCTAATCTCTTTGATGAATGCATATGTGTTTTGCTCTAGTCATGTCTGACAGGTAATGTTTCCTCAAAGACTCAAGAATTCCCAATGCTACAGTTGCTTTTTGAAGCTTCATATTTGTCTAAATATTTTTGAATATTCAATTACCTGATTGTAGTTTCAGGTATCATTTCCGAAAATCCGAAGGGAATTTTTTATCCTATTAATTATATTTGATTACAGTTTCAGATATCCTCTCGAAGATCCGAAGGGAATCATCGAGCCCATTCAAATATCTGATTGAAGTTTCAGATATCTTCTCGAAGATACGAAGGGTATCATCGAGCCCATTCAAATATCTGATTGAAGTTTCAAGTATTATTTTCGGAAATCCGAAGGGAATTTTCGATCCTATTAATCATATATGATTGCAGTTTCAGATATCTTTCTTGAAAATCCGAAGGGAATTTTCGAGCCTATTCAAATATCTGATTGTAGTTTCAGATATCTTTCTCGAAGATCCGAAGGGAATTTTCAAGCATATCCATATTTGATTGCAGTTTCAGTTTCAAGTATCTTTCTCAAAGATCCGAAGGGAATTTTTGAGGCCATTCAAATACCCGATTGGAGTTTCAGGAATCTTTCTTGAAAGTCTGAAGGGAATTATTCGATATCTTTTATCGAAAATCCGAAGGGAATTTTCGAGCCCATCTCATCTCAAGCATCTTCTCTCAAAATCCGAAGGGAATTTTCGAGTTTATTTCAGGTCTTATTTCGAAAATCCGAAAAGAATTTTCGAGCTTTCAAATACTATTGGGAATTCTAGATACTTGGCGGGTTTTCAAAAGCTCTTCAATAGCCCAAGTTTGCTTTCCCAAATCTTCAGGTAAGTAAGTGCAGGTATGTTTTCTATTTTTGCATTAGCATCTACATATCACATTAGAGAATGGGTGTGGGCTCATTGAGATCCCGTTTACTCAACAAAAAGATTAATGTTTCTCATTGCATTTGCATAGTCAAAATTTAGGTATCATTTTGTCTTTGAATGAAACCTCTTCGAACTCCCCTTCAAAGAGGGGCAGCTGTTGACACCTAAATTTTGGCACATCATTTAGTAATTAATTGCATAGAAAATTAAGGATTAAATTTTAACCCCTAAACAAAAATATCAAAATCGCATAGCATATAGTTTAGGATCATATAGTTTAATTACATTCCACATTGGATCGGCGGCGGTGAGTAAGCTGAAAATCCATCGCATAAATCGAGCTCGGACACCAAACGGAACTCGGCTCACCTAGGGGATAGGGGCCGAAGATCATGAGTCCAAAAGGCCTTGATTATCTTAATTTGAGCTTAAATCAACCCATCAAGCTTAATTAAAGAAAAGCCCAAATTAATTCAGCCCATTTAGAATTAAATCAAAATTAAAGGATGAAGCCTAAGCCAAAGCTTATTAGGTCTTGAAAGCCCGGCCAATTAACCTAGGGTTGCGATATAAATATGTGATTATACTCCTTAATCAAGGGGGCTCTCATAACTATTTCCAGAACACAATTCTTGAGAGCACGGAGACACGTGACCAAGAACAAGAGTAAGAGAGAGAGTAGCTCGTTCACGTGCCCGCCCCACCATTGCGCCGCCTCGCGACCGCACCGTCTTCACCGCTCCTCATCGTCGCCAATCCCGCGAGCCACCACCGCGACGATCACCGCAGCTGCTGTAACTCGACAATCACCGCTGCTGCTGTCCTTTGACGCCCGCCGCTGCCCTGCACCGGGAAGAGTTACTGCTTCCGTCCGAGCCGAGGATCCCTCGACAGTCGCAGCTGCTTCTTGCTCCAGCCTCGACATGCTGCAGACCTGTTCCCCGATGCCGACACCCCCTGAACTGATCTGCTGAGCTTCACCGCCAAGCCACGAGGCCACACAATTGAATCACACGGCCACATTGAGAGACGGCCAGAGAATAAAGAGATGAAATCGTGAGGGGAGCTTCACAATTGACTATTCACGGCGGAGAAAAAAAATAGAGAGGGAGGCTAGTGTTGCTTCCTCGGCAACACCCACGGTACACGAGGAAGAAGACGTTCGTGACGGAGTGCACTGGTCATCCACACTTCACTTCAACAATTCTCGCCCAAATCTTAGCTTCTTCACGGGGCCAATATAAGTTGTTGAGGAGAAGAAGACAAAAAAGGGCAGGCTGATTCTTCATCAATATCCAATATTTGCATCCCATTATTATTCTTTTCCTCTTTCTTCTTGCACCCCCACTGAATTCCACGTGCAGAAAGCGCCAAAAGGGGAAGAAGAGACACTATAGATAGAAAGACGGAGCACATCGTCTGAGCTTTGAAGATCGAGACTTCTCTTCGAGAGCTGTGAGCCTCGCTACGAGTCCCCTCACAACGAGCAGCTGCACACCGAGAGTACCAGTCCAATCTCATAAAGCTCGTTTGAGGTCGCTCCGCGAGCTCTCCAATCAGTCGTGAGTCCCGTGGCCTCACCCGCCGTCAGCCACCCGCCAGCCGTATGCTCCACCCGGTCCCGATCCGCAATCCCGGCGATTCAAATTTGGAAATATCCGCCAAATTAGGTACGATCGATATCCAATGTTTTTTTAGAATATTTTAAATTCCTAGTTTAGGTGTTTTAAATATTCAGTGAATATTTGGTGGATTGCTAGATCTTAGGGATAATGCACGCAATATCCGCAAATTTCTAAAATACTCAAAATTAGGAATTTTACCTAATTTGGCAACGTATACGGACGACTATCCGATCTTATCCCTAAGGTACGATATGCGGCGATACGGAAAATCATTATCTTATCCATAATCACTTGTATACGATAATAGATTTTATTCGCTTTCCAAATTCAAACAATCAACTTTTCGTCGATATCTATAACCCTATAGATATGACCGTTAGTTTGATTTCTTTTCCTAATCCAAATTTGATAAGAAGAATCTTGTGGATTGCGTGGATTGTTTGAATGCGGTTGTTATCTTTATTTGATTGCTTTCTTTTTTAAATAAAGAAAATCCAAAAATATGTTAGTTAGAATTTAAATTAAAAGTTTGCATGCTTAAAGAATCCTAAATATATCCAAGAGAGTAAGATAATTATTTGATTTAAATTGGGATTTAGAGTAGCATATTTCCTAGTTTAAATTAGAAATTGTTTTAATCTTTGTGGATTATTTAGGATATTTAGATTTCGAATTTCCATGAAAATCCCAAAAAAAATGAGTCACTTTAGGACAGATTAAGATAGATTGCATGTTAATTTAGACAATTTTTTTATTTCGAATTTCATTGGAAAAATACAAAAAATAAATCATTTGTCCGTCATTAGAATTAGGTCACGTCGTCGCATGACATATAGTTCGCATGCTAGGTTGCATTAATCGCATGTCATTTTTTGCACGTCATTGCATATAAGTTAGTTTGCATTTTAATAAAGCGCAAACCCTAAAGAACATCTTGAGTGCCTTGCTTTGGTAATTAGAAATCATATTAGGATTGTTTGTATGATTTTCTACTAACAATGCAGATGCTTGCGTTGCTCTAAGGTACGTCATTCTCCTAATCTTGCAATTTATTTATTGCTTTCTTGGGTGTTAAATTGATGGTTTGCGCACCCGCATGAACACCTCACATGTTAGTAATTAGGTAATAAAATGGATCCAGATTGCCTGCATAAACATTTTTGAAAAGAAAAGGTACCGAAAGGGCGTTAGACTAGATATAGCGTAACCAAGTCCCCGAGCTTAGAATCTCTGGTTCGTAGGAATAAAACATATCTCCCTATGTTTTATTTAGGTTTCTAATCGACCTACCACAAATAGATTAGTGGCAACTCCAAGCATGAAAACTTTTGCATGTTAAAAATTTAAACCCTAAGTTGCGAATTGGTAGGGCTTGGGAGGGCCCGAGTTAGGCTTAGTCTTAATAATCCATTAGCCTAAGAAATTTAGGTCGCGACAACTTGCGACTCCGGGGACTTGAGTTAAAACTCTTAGTGGACTTAGGCCATTTTTTTTTTTCAAAAATATTTTTGTTTGGCGTGAGGATCCTGTACGTCCCTAACATTTTAGGTGTTAAATGTTTTTGCTAGTAATGGGAGGTATAAGGGGAGGCGTGATTGTTAACCATTGCCTCTTTAACTGTGAAGAAAAACAAATCTTGTTTCTGATTATGTAGTTTAACAATACGCTGGGAATTTGAAAGAGAACATGTATACCTAACTTTTTTTCATTTGAATGCATGCTATTTATGTTTTTAGGCCCAAGGAGCTTCTACAATTATTTTTGTCTATATTTCTTGAGATGTGAAATGAAATTGAGAGAGTGACTTGCTTTCATTATAACGATATTGACAGTTGAATTGAAATGTTGATCTCAATGGTGTTAATCGAAGTATTGCAAGTTCGCGAGGAGCTTGTACCCTTAGGTACTGTTCTATTGTGTATCTACAGGCATGAAATTGTTGGAACTGTGATGAAAGTGGGGAGCAATGTGAAGAAATTCAAAGTGGGTGAGCGAGTAGGTGTTGGGGTCATAGTGGGCTCCTGCAAGAATTGTGAGCTGCCAGCAGGATCTGGAAAACTACTGCCCCCAGACAGTATTTACCTATAATGCCCATTTCCCAGATGGAACAAGAACTTATGGTGAAGTAAGTCTTCGAACTCTCATTTTTGCAATTAACTTAGTTATTACAATTTTCGGGTCGGTCCATGATAGGTCTAAGTTGGTTTTAAATTTGAAAGTAATATTCATTGAATCCTTTTTTTTTAACAAAAAAAAAAAGAAGAACAAAGAAAGCTCTTTTGGAGAATTTATTTTCAATCTATGTCTTTATTTTCCTAGATGTGTCATGGGTCATTATTTCCTGAGAAGTTTGCCATCATTTTCGCAAGTACAAGGAATAATGAAAAATGTCATAAAAAATGGGAATAAAAGGGAACAATTAGACTGAGTCATGGACCGATCGTTTTGAGGTCGTGTACTTACCATGCTCCCTTTTCAAATTAGGTTATTACGGATTTAGCCACGAATGTAAAAAAAAGTAGGTAAAGTGAAGCGAAAGTTTATTTTCGTGGCTAAATCCGTGGCTAATTAGCCACGCATTTTGCCACGAATTTATTTCGTGGCTAATTAGCCACAGATTTAGCCACGAATGTAAAAAAAATAGGAAAAGTGAAGTGAAAGTTTATTTTCGTGGCTAATTAGCCACGAATTTTGCCACGAATTTATTTCGTGGCTAATTAGCTACTAATTTAGCCACGAACGTGAAAAAGTAGGAAAAGTGAAGCGAAAGTTTATTTTCGTGGCTAAATCCGTGGCTAATTAGCCACGAATTGTGCCACGAATTTATTTCGTGGATAATTAGCTCCAGATTTAGCCACGAATATAAAAAAAATCAGGAAAAGTGAAGTTAAAATTTATTTTCGTGGCTAATTAGCTACGAATTTAGCCACGAATTTTATTCCGTGGCGAATTTTGCAACGAACACAGAAGTTCGTCGCTAAATTCTTTTATCTGCCCGCCCTCACCCCGATTCTCTCTCTCTCTCTCTCTCGGATCCCCCTCGCTGTTCTCCCTCCCTCTCCCACACCCCCAAGCCTCTCAAGTCACCCTGATCTACAAAATCCAACCTCTAATTTGCTTGCGTCTTCGGCGAATTTGATGCCTCATCGTCGTGAATTCTCAGGTCCGATCTCGAATCCGGCGCTGCTTCTTGCGGCCTCCGGCGATCGCCGCACGCGTCTAGGGTTTTCCTGACTCCAAACCCGATCGATTCGGCGGCGCTTCCGACAATGGATGGCAACAATAGTCCCCTCCCCCTTCTCCCTTTGTTCTCGCCTCTCGCCGGTGGTTTCCGCCCCCTCGGAGCTCGGAATCAGTGGTTTTCCGGTTCGTTATCTCGAGTTTCTTCCAGCGGTTCGCCTGAATTCGGCGAGGTGCGATCGAGATTCGCCATGGCTAGCTCCGGCGATGGAGAGAACGGCGAGAACCGCCGGACGCGACTGGACCGCGACGAGCCCGGCGATCTGTCGTCGATCGACGCGTCCTCGGTGGAGTCCGGGCCGAGCTCGAGGGTCTCGAGGGGGGCAGCCGAGGAGATTAGGATGGCGGAGAGGCTGACAGACGTCTTCATCGGGGGAGGCGACGGAGATCTGTTGATGCAGCGGAGCGATCGGGAGGATAGGGTTCTATAGTGGCTGCAGGTGCTCGATATGCAAGTGGTTGGGGCCTGCCGCGCGGATGAGAGATTGAAGCCATTGTTGAAGTCGAGTGAGTCGAGCAGCGCGGCTGCGGATCGGTTGTTGGCTCACCTCAGTCAGGTACTTATTGTTTCGATCCGGATTAAGTGTCTATCTGGCTCGAAGCGTTAGGGTTTTTTTGCTTATTTCATTGCCTGAGGATTGATTTCGAGATAATCGCGGCGTATGTAGCATGTATGGCTACGTTTTGGTGGCCTGTGAGGGGTAAACGCTTTACCGTGCTACTGATGATAGGGAGTCTCTTTTCAATTTTAATTTTCGTACGGATGGTTCAGAGTCCCTTATGAGATATTGCATGATTGGACCGTTATTGAGAAGGTTTGGGTAATTTGTTCAAGTTGTTGTTTGATTTTGGCTTATTGGATTTGCTTTTGTTTTTAATCATCGCATTTCGAGCCTGCGAAGTTGGAATACCGGCCATATGCTTTTGCATGCCACTTGTTTCGATTCGAGTTGGCAAGATAGACAAGCAAGGGACTCTTCTTTGCCCCACATCAACAAGGTAAATGAAGTTCGATCTCAGTATCGGTTTTCGGATTCTTGTATGTGAATTGTCTGTTGGCTTGTGAGCAGCTTAGTTTGGTTTCTGCTGATGAGTTGCCAATGTTTTCCGGTAATATACATAGTTCAGCTGCAGACTAATTTTATCAGTGGTGCTCATTGGTTTACTATTAGAATTTTGTTTGTTATCAAGTGATTTTCCTTTACGTTTCTTAGTTGCTATATGGATGATTATAATTTTTGGAAGTTTAACAAGCTTAGAATTGGCTTTATTAGGAGTTGTATTGTTTATGTTCTGATCTGTCGCATTTAAGTGGCGCATTTTCTGTCTTGTATCTTGTTCCCTTCATCTGGAGTGTAGTTCTTGTAAGCTTTCATTTTGTAGTGCGAGTGCGTACTATGTGTTTTGATTGAGCATTTGTTAGTTTTGTGTTTAGAGAACGGTTCTTCGTACGATTTTTCTACAATGTTTAAGGAGGAGTATGCTTGCTGTTTTTCTGTTCCTAGAGTTCCTTATCCTCATTATTTCAAATTTGCTAGTTTTTATTGCCATTTTGTGTGGTGGAGTTCTGTCTTTTGGTTCTTATTACAGCTAGCTATGTAATGCTAATTGTGGGCACCTCATCAGGAGATCATGTTGTCAGTCTTCTTTGCAAGCAGCCAGTTTAAAATATTCTAGATGAAAGTATTTGACACATATTGATATACCAGTAAGTTTGTGTAAAGTAAACGTCAGATGCTGGACCGTAACAGTTTTTTTGTTTTCTGATGTAGTTCTCTTCTTGTTGGAATTTTTTTGGATACATATGGATATAGGTATTGATGGCAGTAATATTGGCTGATGGACAGTAGTTTATGTTTACCCTACTATTTTCTCTCTTCATAATGGGAGATTTACCCTCTCGACAATTATGTCATAGCATCAGAGTCTTCGAATTGAGCAGTTCTTGAATGTCGTTTGTGAGATTATTTTCCAAGAAATGGTGGATATTACTTGAATAATATCAACTTTGCATATAGTCCATGATATCACTGGAAATAATCTTAAGTTGAGGATTTAATGTTGTAGCTTCTTGTTGGTATCCATGTTCATTCTTCTCAATAAATATGTCTTTTGACTTGTAGGTGAAGTGGGCGTATCTTATTATGATCTCTGAATTAAGGGGGAGTCAAGGTAGTTTCATGCTCCTATATTATCTTGTCGACTGTTGCTTTTTGAATGTATATAGGATCTGAATTCAACAAGTAGAAAATGTTAGTGACTATTTTTGTTCTTATGCTTGTCATTTAGGTAGGTCTCGTGACGCTGTAATTCTGATCTCATTAAGTTCTCTTCAGTCAATTGGTTGTTATTGTTTGCATTTGACAATTAATAGTTATGTGAACTGACTTTTTATATTACCCTCCGAATTTGTCACATTTACATCTCCATTTCCTTGAACATAGATGGTACTTGCTGTTTATATCTATGTTACCGAATGGTACTCATTTCTGGAACTGCTTGGTCTTTCAACATATTGTTAGAATTTGTGGAGTTATTTCGGATGCTTGAAAGTCATGCAAAGGAAATACCTTTTGTAAGATGTCCTAGAATTAAATCATAGGTGCAATGAATAAGCATGTACACACAAGGATGCGAGTTAGTTACATGATGATTCTTTTAGGTCTAAAGTTACCTGAGAAATTTAGCCAAAGTCAAGTATTGACATACACGGCAAAAAAAAAAAGGACTCGAGATAAATCCATTACATATGTGATAGGCGATAGACAATCCCATTTAGTGTTTTTACAGGAGATTTGCGTATTAGGCGTTGATACCAAACTTGCACATTGCTATAGTAATCTTTCCGTCACCGGCTCGTTAATTTCTTAGCTGTCTCAGAGAAATAGACAGTTTAAATGTTTCTTGGTTATATCCCTGTTAATTTCTGAGCTAGAGAATAGAATTTTTTTTGAAAATTTTATTTTTTCGAAATTTTTTAAAAAAAAAAAATATTTTTTTGTTTTTTCAGGACAAATTAGCGACGAATTTTGCGACGAATACAGTTCGTGGCAAAAAATTTTTAAAAAAATAGAATTTTTTTTTTAAAATAATTTTTTTTTTGCTTTTTCGAGGCAAATTAGCGACGAATTTTGCGACGAATACATTTCGTGGCAAAAAAAATTTGTTTAAAAAAATAGAATTTTTTTTTTGTTTTTTCGGGGCAAATTAGCGATGAATTTTGCCACGAATATAGTTCGTGACAAATTAGCGATGAATTTTGCGACGAATACAGTTCGTGGCAAATTAGCGACGAATTTTGCCACGAATAATTTGCGACGAATTTTGCCACGAAAAATTTGCGACGAATTTTTTTTCGTGGCAAATTAGCGACGAAAATTGAAATTTTTCGTGGCTAAATTTTGCGACGCCGAATTAGCGACGAAATTTTTTTCGTCGCAAAATTCATCGCAAATTCATTTAGCGACGATTTTTGCCGAATTTTTCGTGGCAAAATTCGTGGCTAAAACCTTATTTTTTTTGTAGTGCACTATTATGTGCTGGAATCACCGTGTATAGCCCGACGAAATACTATGGCATGACAGCCTGGGAAGCATTTTGGCGTGGCTGGACTTGGTGGGCTTGGTCATGTGGCCGTAAAAATGGGCAAGGCATTTGGACTGAAAGTTACTGTTATTAGTTCGTCTCCCAAAAAGGAAGCTGACGCGATTGAAAGACTTGGTTCTGATTCCTTCCTTTTGAACAGTGACCCCACAAAAATGAAGGTAAATGAAGTTTGGAAATAGTTTTGTATTGGTAGGAGGACTAGCATGTCAATCATTTCTTTATCCAGCCCTGCGATCCTCTTCTAGCCGAGACAATTTGAAATCTTTGCGATGTCGGAATAGATATGCACAGGGTCACCAATTTTCCATCGAAAGCTGGAAATGACATAATGTAGATAAACCCAAATAGAAGGGGATTACTAAGTCAGTTACGGAGAGAGTAGAGTACCTTAAATTCTCCTAATGGAATTACTTGCTTCTTGCAGGCAGCTTTGGGAACCATGGACTACATCATTGACACAGTTTCTGCTGTACACCCTCTTCTTCCATTGCTCAGTCTGCTCAAGGTGAATGGGAAACTTGTTCTTCTGGGAATGCCTATTAAGCCCCTAGAGCTGCCCATCTTTCCCTTGGTTCTGGGTAAGTGATAAACTAGTGCCGCATTGAGGGGGTGGTTAAATTGTTTAAATGGAATTGCAAATTTAAGTCTGAGTCGAAATATTTTAATACTGGAGCTCGACTCAACTCGATTCTCCATTGCTTGAACTCAACTTGAGCTCAATTGGTCAAGTATGATTTCTCAAACTGGAGCTCAACTTGATTAAGTTTTATATAACCTCGAGCTCAAGCTCGATTCCACTTGTTTTTTACAGCTGAATTTTAGTCTATGCTCTAGCTAAGCATGAAATTGATCCCTACTTCTGAGAATATGATAATAACATATAATAATGTTATGTGCTTCTTCATAGTATCTACAGATGTATAACTATCTTTAGATATATAGAAGTTCAACCGCTCAATTGATCCGAGCTAAGTATCTATAAACTCGAGCTTGACTGGATTAAGTACTCGAGCTACTTGAATTCGAGAATGATCTTGCTGAATCCGAGTGTTCTATGTGTCAAGCTTGAGTAGCTCACGAGTAGTTTGACTTGCTTATACCAAACTCGCAGCTATCCAAAAGAAAGATTCTTCAGTAACAAACTTTTATTTTCTTTTCTCTTTAGCTTCCTTTCAATAGATTAATTTTAATTTTACCAGCCAATGCATATGAGCAGAAAAGATGCTAGACTTTTTCTTCATCAGTATAGACTTGCATTTCGTACCACTGGAGATGGTAGAAGTTTCAGCTTATGGTCATGCTGGAGTTGCAAGGTGCAGAACCAAACGGCAATGATTCCGACTTTGTTAATTCTTTCAGGCCGCAAGCTCGTGGGTGGCAATGAGATAGGAGGAATGAAAGAGACTCAGGAGATGCTAGACTTTTGTGCGAAACATGGTGTCACTGCAGACGTGGAGGTAATCCGGATGGACTACATCAATACAGCTATGGAGAGGCTTGCGAAGTATGATGTGAAGTACCGGTTTGTGATCGATGTGGCCAGCTCTTTGTCGCAGTAGATATATGGTGATGCGCTCCGGATATTTCATCTGCCAGTTTCAAGGACTTTTTATTAGAATAAAAAGGAACTTGCCGGTGCTAAGAATTTGCGCACTTTGGTTGGTGCCGGTTATATTTTCCTTCCGCGTAGTTCGGCTTTCTTTGCTTGATTAAATGTACTAGTTCTGCTTTCTCGTATGATTGTTTTCGCTTGTTCAGTCATCTTTGATATTCTGCGGGTTTTGGGGAGGGTTGTATCAATTGGTAAGGGACTTCCCCTAGGTCGGCCATCTTCCTGGACTTGTTTGAGGAATGTCTGACTTGATGTTCAGCAGAAGAGCATATATTTGGTTTGGCATTTACATCAACCAGAAAGTCTTGAATTTCCTGTCTAAACAAAAGATATTGTTGCAATTTTAAAATTTTAGAGGCGACATTCGATGTCACTAATTATGTTTTCAATGGTTCGTGTGCAAGATCTTAGAAAATAATCTGCTTTCAAACTTTAAATTATGGTAAAAGGATGAAAGCCAAATTCAAAAGCGAAAGACCCATTCGAGGTTGAGTCGAATTGACTTGATCATCGAAATGAAGTCACAGTCAGCATGACACTGCACTAGCAGCTTTAATTATGTTTGCAAGCCATAGAAGTCACGTTTTAAAGGACTTCCAACGTGCTACTTGAACTTGAATCGAACTGGGCCGTACTCAAATCAATTGCAAGTATTACAAGCTATTGAATACAAGATTTAGGGTGCGCATGACAATGATTCTGTGCCCGAAAACTGATTTTACTCAGAAATGATTCTTAATGATTCTGTGCCCGGGAACTGATTCTGAGTATTTGAAGGCGTTTGGTAATGGCCCAAAATTTCTATTCCTGAAATAGTAAAAGAACATAAATAAGTTTGGTAACGGCATAAAATTTCTTTTTATTAATAATATTTTAATATTTCTTTCTTTTTTTCTTTTTTTTTTCTTTTCTTTTTTTCTTCTCCTCCTTCTTGGCCATGGCTAGTAAAATATTTTTTTTATTAATAATACTTTTATTAAAAATAATTTTTTTTATTTTTTTTGGCCATGGCCGGTAAAAATTTTCTTTATTAATAATACTTTTATTAAAAATATTTTTTTAATTATTTTTTGCCATGGCCGGTAAAAAAAATTTTATTAAAAATATTTTTTTCTGTTTTTTGGCCAAGGCCGGTAAAATATTTTTTTTATAAATATTTTTTTATTAGTAATATTTTTTTATTAAAATATTTTAATAAAAGATATTTTTATTGAAAATATTTTTTTTCTTTTTGTTTTTGCCATGGCCGGCAAAATATTTTTTTTATTAATAATATTTTTTTTCATGGCTTGGTCGCTGGCCATGGCTGGTAAAATAATTTTTTTTTGTTCATGGCCAGTAAAATATTTTTTTTATTAATAATATTTTTTATTAAAATATTTTAATCTCGCCAGATACGGCGAGGGTGGTCCTCACGCCGGACATTAGAAGCTACATTAAAAACCAAGAAAAAGAAGAAGAAAAAAAATTGATTCTCATTTTTGTCCCCATAATCAAGAAGCTGCTTTTTTTTTATTCTTGATTCTGCTCCAAAACTAATTTTGGGCACAAATTTGCAAGAATTTGTGCCTAGAATCAAAAAATTTAACAAACGGATTTCTGTTCCAAAACTGATTCTGGAAACAAAAGAACAGAAATTTTCACTATTTGGCCAGTTGCCAAACAGGCCCTTAGCCAATTTCTTGTGTAACCAAGTTCTTTTGACTTTATACTTCTTCCATTTCCTGCAATTGGCAAATCGATTTGTTGACATGATAGGTGTGAGATTTTGGTGGAATTACAGTCAATTACTTTAAAAGCTTAAGCTATTAGATAAAGACGTGGTTTAATATTTAATTACTCTAACGCTCCCGGTCACGTTTAGTCTGGTCGTTTTACTTGGTACTAAGCGTGGACATATTTAATTGGAGAAGCAAATGGGTGCCTAGAAAGATTTGAACTCAGGACCTCCAACTCTGATACCATCTGAGATTTTGTGATACCACTGCCAACTGTTCTAGATTAAGCGTGAGATTTAATAATTAAATATTAAGCCATGCATTCATTAAACAGCTTAAGTTTTTAGAACAATTGACAGTGATCTTACAAAATCTCACAATGGAAATTTCCTCTTATTCTCTATTTGGGAGGATGGAGTGACGAAAATCAGGACAGAAACTATAACAAATATCAAATTTCCTCAATGTTTTCTTCTCACAAAATTTTCGAAATTCTTTCCATCTTTCGTCCAAGCTTCCATCCTCATTTTCCTAAGTTTCCAAACATCGTATTCGAGTAAATGGAGCATATCACCTTAGGAGAGCGTTCGTTGGGGGCCATGCTGCCCCTCCAGCAGTGACCCATGATAGTCGGACCTAATGCATGGTCGGCCTAGTGCAATCATTGTTGATCTCCGACAAGCATTGCCACGTCAGCAGGGAAAATTATCTAAAAAGTCTCAAAGATATTGCACTTTTGACAATTTAGTACTAAACATTTTAATTTTGCCAATTGAGTCCTAAACTTTGTCATGATTTGCCAATTAAGTCCATTTGGGAAATTTTGGTTGGAAATCACTAACGTGGACGCTGGCGGTCCTATGTGGCACGGTCGCTGTTGATGTGAACAATTTTAAATAATATTTTTTCAATTTTTTATGAATTTTTTACTCTTTCTTTTCCTTTTTTTACACCTCTAGCCAGCGAGGTTGCCTGCCACAGGCCTAGTCTGGGCGAAGGTGTCACGCCCTCACCGGCCATCGGCAAGGTTCTCTGCACCCTCATCGGCCATAGGAGAGGGCGTTGGGCCTCACCCAGATCCAAGCGAGGGCCGCGATGCCTTGCTAGCCACAAGTGAGGGATTTGCAGCCCTCATCTGGATCTGGCGAGGGACAACTCTTTGAAACCTCTCTCTCTCTCTCTCTCTCTCTCTCTCTCTCTCTCTCTCTCTCTCCATGCACTTGGGGAAGATGATGAGTTTGTCTTCAATGGCGTCGAAGACGAAGAGTTGAGGGTCGATGCCCTCGCCTATGGCCAGCGAGGGCTACAAACCTCTCGGCCAGACTAGGCGAGGGTCGCCTCGACCTAGGTGAGGGTCGCCAGTGACGGTCGGCCTTGCAAGTAAAGGTGTAAAAAAAAAGAAATAAATAACTAAATAAATCGAAAAAATAATATAATATTATTTAAATTATCCACATCAGTCCCGATCGTGTCACGTAAGATGTCTGGCATTCATATCAGTGATTTCAATCCAAAATTGATCAGATGAACTCGATTGGCAAAACATGAAAATATTTAGAACTCAATTGGCAAAGTTAAAAGATTTAAGATTGAATTGGTAAAAATGCAATAAATTTAAAACTTTTTGGATAATTTTTCCCGCGTCAGCATCACCCAACAATTTTTCCCATGTGAGCAAACCAACAAAGTTGCTAATGGGTGGTCAGAGAAGAATTCGATCACACAAATGAATACGAGTTGAAAGGGGTTGAATGGCACAGATGTGACAAAACAAACGTTTGAGAGACGAATTTGGACCGCAAAAACAACTCAGAGGGACGAATATGCACTTATGTGCCACCGATTTGCAAAAAGGAAAAAGAATCGTGTCACACGTTAAGTAGCTCGAGACACAGGAAACCATAGGAAAAATATGGGGCTGCAAACGCTCTTGTCCCCACCACGGACGTACAATCATGTAAAGCCATAGTCTTGGACAAAGAAATGAACTTGGACCCGGTCCTCAAGCTAAGACAATTACTTTTTCGATGCCGTCCTGAAAATAAATAAAATTATCAAAAAAATTCTTAATTTATTATACTTTTGTTAATTCAGTCATAAATTTTTCAATTGACCACATCATCGCCGGTCGTGCAACGTAAGACGCCTGGAGTTCACGTCAGCGATTTGCGGCCAAAATTGATCGAATGGACTCATTTGACAAAATTGAAAGGATTATGATTGAATTGGCAAAAGTGCAGTAGGTTTAGGACTTTTCAGATAATTTTAATGAAAATGAACCACTTGCGCAATGATCATCCCGGAGTAATGCAACTTCTAACTCGTTAAGTTTTAGTGGAAATGTTAACTATGAGGAAAAGAGAAGGGGGAAAGATTTATTTGCAGGTCCAACTCTAGCCTTCATAATTCATAAGTGAAATGGTCTCAGAAGAAAATGTGTGTTCGTTTTGCGAGAAATGAGTGATTTGAAAATCATTTTTCGAAAAATGATTGCTTAAATCATTTAGAAAAATTAGTCAACGGAAAGTATTTTTATTATCGATAACAATTTATGTCTAATTATTTTCGTGGGCAATGAAAAAAAATTTCAATTACTTATTTTTGTAAGCGATTATTTTTCGGAAAATCTTTTTCAAATTACTCATTTTCACAAAACGAATGCACGCATGTTCGAGTTTGAAAATGGCACTTCTAAAACGTGAGAGTCGCAGTACACCATCGCTATTGTCACCAATCTAGCCGGCACTGCAACGAGCACCACGGACATGGCTCCACAAGTCAAACTGAGTAGGCCCAATTAACATTTGCATCACACGATATCAATCTCCAAACATAGTATTTGCGATAATGGAGCATATCACTTTCGAAAACAAGAAGAGGAGAGGATGTTTGGCCCCCCCGACCATCCACCCATGATAGTCAGCCCCGATTATGTCAGCTTTCAAGCTCCACGTGATTAAGAACCCGAAAACAGTGACTCAATATTTAAATATTCTAACACTATCTCTCACACGTAAATTGAATTTTAGCTTAAGTCTAAAGC